ACGACAGGACACAGCCATTCACTTACGGCACCAGAAGTGGCCGACTCTTCAACGGCCAATCGCCTCATCAAACACCTAATCCCTGACCCATTCATACATTTCCTTATCTTTCAATTACTAATACAATATAATAATAATGTGAACCAACTTTCAATGTTTAGACTAATATAAAACAAATGTGATTTAATGCAAATATTAATAATGATAATTAAAAATTGTTTTATAATTTGTAACTTAAAAAAATAAAATAGTTAATTTAGCTATAAGCTAATAGTTAAGTTAGTTTAACTTAGTTTGACAAATAGGTTGATAAATTTATTTTGGTTTTGTACTAATATACAGTCTAAAATTCTAGAAATAATATTTTCATACAAATCTCAAATGTGATACTTATTTTTGGCAATAATTGTAACTTAATTATACTGTTTGGCTTCTTCTAGCAAGTCATCATAAATTTTCATATATTTCTTGACCTCTGTTTGCGTGAAGCCATACCTTTCGGCCAATTCATAAACTGTGGGACAATTATCCGGTGCTTCAGTGAACGATTTATTGCACTTCCCTCCCATATATTTAGGCAACGACTCGATGTCCACATACTTTTCAATCTCATCTCCATTCGCGAAGTACACCAAATGTCTGTACTCTCCTAACCATCCCTTCACCAGTTTCCAGATACCCCTCAGAAGCCACGGCATGTTATAGATCAGTACGTATTGAAGGGCCAGCGGGTAGTAAACGGTGAGACTTGTAATCACGAATTTCATTAAATCCATGCTTAGGTTATTAATACTACTGTCGGAACAGTCGAGTACCAGAATAAAGCCTTTTTTGCCCACTTTTGTGTCCAATTGTTCAATGATGCCAATGATGAACATCTCAATGAGTTCTCGCAATTTAGTAACTTTTCTGTTGCATTTGCCCCTAAGAAACAACTGCCAAACAATCGGTTAATAAGTTTACTTCTAATACAATACTCTTAAACTTAGTTCAAATAAAATAGTGAAACCCATTACCAGAGGAATACCATTCTTGTCCTCCGTGTACACAAAGAAGGCGCCGATTTTGAAGAACTCTTTGCCGTAATCCTTATCTAAGGTCCTGTTGTTAACACCGAAAGATTTTCTCCATT